ACATTTCTAGTCTGAGGGATGAGAGGCCAGGCTGTGTGAAGACTGGGACGGGAGAAATTGTTGGGCAACTAACCAGTTATGCTAATGCTTTGGGTATCCCCACTCCATCAGCAGTGCCAGTTTTATTTTCAGGACTATAAAAACAATCTGGTCAATTTCTATCACAATCTTAAAGATAGTTTTCCTTAGCCACACCTAACCACAAGCAATTTTACTGTCTGGAAAATATTCAGAATCATCACATTTGAAGATGATTCCACTGAATGGATGAATACAAAATGAATGAATGAATGAATACAAAAGTAAATTTTAAAAGACTACGGAGAGGTCATTTTCCAACTGTAACCCCACTGTTACACTGGCAATTCCGTCCTTGGGTTAGACGCTCTACAAAATCTGGGCTGCTATTGTCTCCTCCTTCCTAATGTCCATATCCCCAAAATGGCAGTACGGACACCAGAAGCCAAGAGCAAAGACTGGCAAAATCAGCAGGTGCTCCCACTGCGTACCAGCCATTTTGGAGCAGATAAAGACATTAAGGAAAAATTTAACAATATATAACCTTTCAGTTTTACTCTGCTAACAGCAGGTAGCTTCTCTTTCAGAGAGAAGAGCCTGCATTGAAGTCACCAGCAAGCAGGACTTGACCTTCATTTTCAGTGTATGCAACATTAAATATTCATAATCCACATAACCATAGCATAAGAAGTAGCAGCATTTAAACATGAATCAAAGGAATAAATATCTTCACACATGTGAGTCATCCTTTCCCAGAATGCCCCTGGAAAAAAATGCAAATACTCAGAGCGCTGAGCCTCTGCCTCTTGCAACTTTCTCTTGAAATTCTGGAAGCATCAGAGACTGCATTATGCAATCCATGAATCTCGCCCTCCTACTGACACTGTTGGGTCTTTGTTTTATTTCCTTATCTATTAGATAAGAATTGCTATTCTTGTGTCAAAGGGAGGAAACAGACAAGGATGGAAGCAGCTATGATGACATTAGTAACCAGAGGGTGTCTACAGGCACTTTGGACTTAGTTGTACAATTTTTTTTTAAATCTGTGCTTCACAGGAACCAGAGTATGTAGGAGGAAAGGATTGGCGTAGGTATCAAGAGGCAGCAGAATTAGGAGCTATAGTGATGTGTGACATAAATTAGGAGGAGCCCTTTTAAAAAGAAAGAAAAGAAAGGGAACCTTTTGGAAAGATCTATCTTGTGTGGCTAATTGGAAAAGATCTTTTAGGGGCTGGGATTACGATGTGGGATAGGTTGAATGCTTCTCTGTGTTTGTGAAGGCACAGACATTATGTCTAGCCAAAGACTTGGTTCAGAGACATGTTCCTCTGTTTATGTGTTTCTAGAGAGAGTACACTGCTGGGATGAGAAAGCATAATTTTAACAGAGTTTAATGAAGTTCTCTTTGGCTTTCAACGCCAGGAGCTCTGAGGACAATCTGTCTTAGCTAAAGAGTAATCACTTGAGGCTACAAAAGCATTTTTTCCCTTGAGATTACTCTAATTAAGCCCATACCCAAAGAAAGGAAGGTTCCTTAAACCCTTGAATGAAAAAGATCCACACAGGGATCTATTTTGGCCCAACGGCTGAAAATGAAGGGTGTGCAGAAGAAGATGTCTTTGGAAGTGACTTCTCTGTTACCTCTTGAGAGTAAAATGAGTTTTGAAAGTTTAAAAAGATGATTAACCCACCAATTATGGCATCTGTTTGAACTACCTCATCTGTCTGCTGATGCACAGAAGTAGAATAATGCTTGTCCACTTGTATAACCTGAGCTGGCCCACCTTGACAGAGCTGGCAGAGCAGACCACCAGAACCTGTTTTATACATTAATCTGCATTTCTTGCACTTTTTTTGGATGCCAACAGCCTCAAATTCTAAACTTGTGCTACTGGAATAGTCCATACAACTTTGGGGAAACTGTTTTGGTTCAAATTCACTGAGACAAGCCATTTCACAAACAATGTCTATCCTATTAGGTTCACTCGGGGAAAGCCTGTGGATTGTCTCCTGATTTATTTATTTGAAGGGTATAAATACTAAAATTTTTTTTGAGTTGGAGTCTCACTCTGTTGCCCAGGCTGGAGTGCAGGGGCATGCTCCTGGCCTCCGCAGCCACGACCTGCTGGTCTCAGGTGATCCTTCCACCTCAGCCTTCCAAGTAGCCAGAACTATAGGCACGCACTACCACGCCCAGCTAATTTTTTGGTTTGTTGTAGAGACAAGATCTCCCCATGTTACCCAGGCTAGTCTCAGACCTGTGGACTCAGGTAATCCTCTCACCTGGGCCTCCCAAAGTTCTCGGTTTATAGGCTTGAGCTACTGTGCCCAGCCAGTACTAAAAATTACCTAGAGAATTCTGGGTGCTTTTTTTTCTCCCCGGGTGATGATTTAATATAACTTCCAGGAGAAATTTAAAGTTATCTTTCCAGATGGCCAGCCAAACCACAACTGTAAAACTGGTGACCATTTTAATTAAAAAGATTAATTTTTAAAATGTACATTGTACTTTCTTACCATCTTTCCATTTTCATCTTATTTGTGGATGAAATTTCATTTTATTTTGTTCTTTAAACTTGATTATAATTTGTTTAATAGGTTTTATTCCTGGAAACCTATGGACTAATCATACAGGTGACCTTAATTCCCCCCCATACTTAAACTGAGCTTGCCTGCTGGCTTTCCCCAGGAAGATGGAAGACTCCTAGTGCTGATTCCACTTATGAGGCCTGCCACAGGACAGACTCTTGGGACAAAGTCTTAGGACCAAGTGAAGTAATGCAAGTGAAAAATGGAAAGGGCTACATAAATAACCACAAAATCTTTTTATAAACAAAATCTTGCTATGCCAAACCACAAGGCCTAGTGATGGAGAAAAGGGAAAGGCTGAAGCTAGAATGAGGCTAGGTCGGTCCTCAGGGAAAGTGAGGAAAGTCTTGTTTCTAAGCTTACTGGCATTTTTGCTAAGGACAGAACTGAAGTTTCATCCTTGGTACAGACTCTCTACAAGTCCATAAAAGAAACCAGAATCAGAGAAGACTCCCAATGCCAGCTTCCCCAAAGCTTAGCAGAATCAGATTGGCAGAAGTCATTGAGGTAGTGCAGTGCATTTGGGGAAGAAAGTCTGTGTTGGAGAATTCCATCCCTTCCCATCTTCTCACATGGAGGAAGAGAACACTAGGACCTACAGAGCAAAAGACTGCCTTGTAGTAGACGCCACAAAAAAGGACACCATCCAAATCCATCTAAAGAACACTTTATTTCTGAGAAATACAGAGGGGTAAAAGGGGAGGAAAAGGGGAGGAAGGCACTGGCAGAGGCAGCTGTGCCTCCAGCCATCACCACACTTACCTCCGCATAAGAATTTGCTCTCTGAGGCACAAAGATCACATGCTCAGACCTCTTTCCTGAGCCCCAGCATGGAAGTTGGCAGACTCTGCACCCCACGACATATGAGAACACCCCTGGAGGGAAATTGGATAAATAAGACTGGGGACTTTAGATCTCCAGTTCAATTCAAATATGGTCTAGAATCATTTAGAGTATTAAAAAAGAGCTTACCTTCAATGACATACCAGTGGGAGTCTTCCAAACTTAAAAAAAAGCTCTTCTCTTTCCTGCCTAGGGAGAGCTGATGAAGGGAGCATGTGGAATCTTGTCTCCTGAGGACGTTTAAAGGAACCCTCCATCTGAACTGGGTGAAGGCAGCCCAGCCTTGTGTGTGGAGATGAGCTGAAGGAACTCTGATATTCTCAGACTTGGCTGATTCCCAGAGACGGGTTATTAGAAGAGATGTTTTCTTTATTTTTCCCAACTTGACATTTTGGCCTCTGTGCCCAAATGCACAAAATCTTTTGGCTGGTGACCAGATGTCTCTGAGAAATTCAGAGTTTAGGTGTGCATGAAATTATCACCATCCTGAGCCACAGAAAAATAGCACTAAGCTCAGGATTCCAGCACACAGGGATCTGAGCCAGCAGAGACACCAAGCAGGCTTCCTAGGATCAAGGTCTAGTATCCAAGGACCAAGAGTCAAAGAAGTCAACAGCAGACAATGAGCGTGCTCATTGGTCACTGTCACGAGGGTTGTCAAATTCATGTCATAACAGAAAATGAGTCAGACTCCAGCATTTCTTGTTTCCTGGGTGCTGCCAACTTCAAGATTGCAATAGAATAGCTGGAACAAATGAAAGTCCCCAAGGGTGACACCAGTAGGAACAAAGGCAGAACTGGCTGCCACCTCGCAGTCTTGGTCATTGTCCTCTTCCTCCTCCTGCAAAGTCTTTACCGTCTGTCACCCAGGCTCACCTTGGAGCACCAGTTCACTCAGCTGGCACCCAAGGAGTATGCATGAGTGTCCACTCTAGGAATGCTCAAATGGCCATCACCTCCACTTCTGGGAGTCACCATGAACTCCATCCTGTCTCCTTACCTGCTCAAGTCAAGAAGCACCAGCATATGATGCTTCAGTTGAATATTTGGTTGACAGGGGAAAGGATAACACCCTGCTTTCCAATCTGACCTCCAATAAGATCAGAGCATTGGAAATTCAAATGAGAAAAGGATTCCACAACCATGGCAAGAATGGCTTAGACCCTCATCTGTTAAACACAGTCACCCGCCCAGAGGCTGCAAACTCCCATCAAACTCCCTTCATAACTTCAAACTGCAAACTCCCTTCATAACTTCTTGACACCTTCAGTGCAAAGACATCATCAGGAAACAGTTTTTGAAAAATAAATAATACTCAGTAAGAAGGCTTGACCTCAGATACCTCTCCCTCCTGTGCCAGCAGAATCCACGTAGCCTTCCTTCTGATAACTTCTTTTCCCATTTGGAAAGTCAGAACAAAAAAGCCCTAGCTTCCATCCTCCAAAAGTCTTCCATACTCAGGAGGCTTTTGCAAAGATTGGTGTGAAGGTAAGTAAATTGATCATGATTGTTTTTGAAAAGAAGGCAAGAAAGTGTATTTGAATACTCACTTTGACGAATCTATGAAGTATATTACAAGTGCACCAATGCTGAGAGCAAAGACTAAGACCACCTGCAAAAGAAGAGAAGAATGCCTTCACTTAAGAGATGGACATCGGGGTGACTGGGTTTTTTTTTTTTGGTTTTTTTTTTGACACATGCAGCAGCAGCACTAACACACAGAGCTAACTACTCTTGGGAACCTGCTTGCAAATCTCACCCCGTGCTGCCCCCACATATACTATCTCCATGTCTGCTCCTTATATGGCAACGGGCAGCAACCTCGCTCCTTGCCGATAGGGGTCAGGACAGCATTTTGTATCCCATGGCATTGGGTTTTTATCTGGCCCTGTTATCTCAAGGTCCAGCCTCCCTGCAATTGAAGTCACTAGACTTCAGTGGAAAAAAAACAGGTAAAAATTTAGAGTGATAACAATTTTTCATATTATATGTAACCTAGGACCTAAAGGAATTCCAATACAGAAATATCAATTTTAACAGCTTTATTTAGGTGTAATTTATATACATCATATTCACCCATTTTAGCTGTACAATTCATCAGTGACTTTAGTTAACTTATCAAGTTGTACAACTATCACCAGAATCCAGAACATTTTCATCATCCCAGTAGGATCCTTCACATGCCTGTTAAATTCATCCCCCTTCCCACCTCTCAACCTCAAACAACCACTAATCTACTTTCTTTATACAAGAAATATCAATTTGAAAAGCACAAATTTCCTTATACAAATGTCCATGTGTGTATGTATATATACATTTATGTCTAGGTATGCAAATATGCAGATATAATTACCGCATGTATTCAAATACACAGATATAATTACTGTATGCATATACTGCATGTATATGGTTACGGCATGTCTGAAGTATTTAGGAAAATAGCTTGGGTGCAGGATGTCAATTAGGTAATCCATTTGGCCAGTTATATGACAATCCTTCTTCTCCTCTACACTCTTCACTCAAAATTAATCACCACTGATGGAAGACAGTTTTGGCATCTCCTTGAGTGGATACCTGTCACACTAAAGTCCATCAAATCAATATGTAGCAGATTAGGCTGACACCCACATTTCTGTCCTCACTGAACATTCTAATTTGTTTATTTAATCTTTTACAGAAGAGACTATTAATGCAAATAATGGACAGCAAAAATAAATAAATAAGAGACTATTAGCCCAAAATTAAGCTGAGAACAAAAAGTAAACATTATCATCACACATGATGTCTGCCTGAAGGGTCAACAAAAACCTTTTAAATATGCTAATAGCCTAAAGAGACTGCAGACTGAAGGGCCTTGGAAGTGTCTGTCTCCTCAGAGTATCTATACACTGACAACCCTCGGGCTTGGGCTGCTGGATAGAAAGGAATCCCAATTTATTTAAAGACTAGGCATGATCAAGCTGTGTATCTGTGCCTGTGTGTTTGTGTATGAGAGAGAAAGAAAGAGATTCACACACACACACACACACACACACACACGCACACACGCACACACACATGCACACACACTTGTGTGTGTGCCAAAGTGGCTGATGGAAAACGAAATCTGCATGAGATTCTCATTTAAAACCTATAACCTCAGCATTTTGGGAGGCCATTGTGGGAGGATTGCTAGAGTTCAAGACCAGCCAGGGCAACATAGACCACATCTCAACAAAAAAATTAGCTGTATGGGGTGGTGCATACCCTCAGTACCAGCTACTTTGGAGGCTGAGGCAGAAGGATTGCCTAAACCCAGGAGGTTGAGGCTGCAGTGAGCTGTGACAGTGCCACTATACCCCAATTTGGGTGACACAGTAAGACTCTGACTCAAAAAAATAAAATAAAATAAAACAAAACATTGCAAAACTCCATGGATCTCCTAGGGAGCTATGGTGGCCTACACATTACAGAAAAATGACAATCAAAACAAGTGTATACCCTAAAAGGAATATGCAGTTTTATAGCAACTGATAAAATTTTTTAAATGAAAGACAATGTTAAACAATACACCACCAGGGTTTACTTCATTCTCCCATTTTGGTTTAAAAATTAAGACATGTTCCAGTTGAATGCTGCAGTCTGTCAGTAATTATCATCTACCCAGTACTAATCCCTCTTGGCTGGCTCACCTCAGCCTCTCCCCTCACACACATTCATTCATCTGTTCTTTGCAAAAGAATACACAAAAACAAACAAACAAAAACATGAACAGACCTCTTCTTTTTCCTCTGTTATCTAAAGGAGGCAGCAAAACAAAGAGCTTAAGATTAATTTTGATCTGTGCTGCTATTTCTGAGACATAAGCAGTTAGATCCTGCCCCTGACCTCATTCTCAAAAAGCTGCAAAAAGAAGGGGTGTGGCCAGAACAGAGGGGAAGGGCCTCTTGTTCATTCATAAACAGCTGATCCAAGACTAATCCCTGCTCATTTGGCTCCCTGAATGTGTGCCTGTGAATGCTGAGCGTCTGTCCGAGCTGGCTGTATAGCACTATACCACTAAAAGTCATGGTTGCTGGAAAGGCAAGGAAAGCAGTTCTCACAAATGGCATCTACATCATTCTGAAAAGAACTCCAAATCTAAGGTCTTCTGCCATGGCATGATTTTCCATGGCCAGACAAAGTAGCTGATGCTAATTTGCTCCAGCTGCTCCACTTGGAGTCTGTGATGGGGACTAATGCTACACATTGCTTATTTAAGCAAATGGGAGGGGGCAGTATTCTTCTGTCCTCTAAAGCTGCAAACTCAAATATCTGCACATCTCTATGGGGGGGGTAAGAAAGGGAAAAAAATCCAAGAGGGAAATGACCTCCACAGCTCCCAGGCACTGAAGTTTCTATTTCATAGACCTGTACTTGGTTACATGTGTTCAACTGGAAGGCTTTCTCTCAGGGTGGCCAAACTGCCCCACCCACCACTATCCACCGTCACCTGCCTCCATGCATGAAATGCTCAGTGGGGAGAGGATCTGCTTCTCAGGATTAAGGTAACTGTGCACATAATCTTTAAAGTTGTTAAATTCCTCTTTATCATGTTAGGCTTGATTACATAGCCAGTTTAGATCCAGGTGCTGTGGGAAACATATCTACCCTTTGGATATAGCCATGAAAATAGAATCCCAATAGAGACGTATCTTCTATAGGGCCCTAGCAAAACCTTTTTAGAGGGACACATTTGATTTCTCTCTTTTTCTATCTCTTTTTTTGAGTCGGAGTCTCACTCTGTCACTCAGGCTGGAGTGCAGAGGCACTCGACCTGCTGGACTCAGATGATCCTCCTGCCTCAGCCTTCCAAGTAGCTGGAACTACAGGCATGCACCACCACACCTGGCTAATTTTTTTTTTCCACTCAGACTGCACACTCTCCCTCTTACTTCCTAAAAGGAAAGCAAGAACGATCATCAATGACAAATGATAATTGCAAAAACGCAACAATAAATGTCGGCTTCACGCTCAGAAGAGAATGCTGCGTCTCCTTCTCATGGTTTTCGGTACTCTACACGATCAGAGAAACTTCTCTAGTAACGAACTATAGAAATGATCCCTGAAAGTATAGTCTTAATTTTTTTTTTTAAGTTGTAGAGACAAGCTTTCACCATGTTGCCCAGGCTAGTCTCAAACCCGTGGGCTCAGACAATCCTCTCACCTCCACCTCCCAAAATGCTGGGATTACAGGCATGAGCCACCACTCCCTGGCTTTCTATCTCTTTCTTAAAAAATCCCCTAATGACTGAGGACCCTACTCTAAATATGAAAAATATTAGTGTGATAATAACCAATGATTAGATTGGAGTACAAATGGGATTGGTGATGTTATAGAGCATAATAGTCATCTAAATATTTAACACACCCTATTCATAAGGCCCATGAAAGATAAAAGAAGCAAGTGGTCTGGTCTGCTCTCTCCCTTGGGATCAATCAGAGACAAGAGGCAGAGGGCTGGGAGAAATGGGTGTTTTATCAGATATCATGGAATCAGGGAGTCGGTGTATTCACCCCCCAAAAACTCGCTCCTCAACAGTACAACTTACTCAGAATTTATACCCCACAGCTCCTCACCCACCCCACATCTAAATTAACAAGGGCTTGTCAAGGTCACCTAATCCCTTCACCACCCCCAGACTGAAGTAACAAGGCCTATCAGTAATTTTGGCATAACCCAAGATCCAATCATGCTGATAGTTCCTTATGGGAGGATAGGAAGTTACAACAATCAAAGAAGCTACTGTGGTACATTTAGAGAAACAACTTCAAATTTAACAAGAGAAATATAAGACACCCCTGTTCCCAGAGCCTTGGCCAATAACAGAAGGGATAAGGATGCTGGGAATCCTTCTGTGTGGAAGAATCCTTCCTTCTATAGGAAGACTGAGGCCCAAGGAACATGGTAAGATGAGCCCAAGAAAAGCACAGTACCCTAGAAAACAAAGCATACCTGCCCTCTAGCAGCTGAGTCAAAGAATAAGCCTCACAATGACCAAGCTGTTACAAAACATGGCCCCACACAAGAGCTTGTTTACAAGACATAATTTGAGCATTGCCCCTCAGGGCACTTCTGCTAACTTTCACGAGAGTGCCCCTTTCCTAACTTCCCGAAGTCTGGGCTCACCAAATCACCCAAGCTACTTTAACCAATACAAACGACCTTATTCTTAGAAGATTTACTGAAAACACCCATATGCTGTGTGGTGATACTGAGTATGGAGTGTGCCTGATTCCTAAAAACAAAAGCAATTTGATAAATGTCACTGGAACAATAGTGCTTTGAGTTATCTATTTTCAAATCTCCAAAATCAAACATGACATGTTTGCACAAAAGAATGCCAGGAACCCACATACACAGTTTACTTTTTTAAAAAGTCTGTCCCTAAGACTGATACAAGGAGAATGGTGATAAACAAAGTGTAGCAAGGGGAAGTTCACAGCCATCTTTCTAGATGGAAATTCCAGTAGGCCATGAAGATCTTTCAAATGTCTGAGGAAGTTCATTAAAATAAAAAATAGTATGGCCAAGCATAGAATAGTCCTCCTAAGGTTATGAGAACTCTCCAAGAAAAAGGCAGATTCAGTGAT